TAGTTTATAGCAGAGCACACACTCACACACACAATCAGACACTAAGGACAGGGGACACGATGGATAGGATACTAGTTTATAGCAGAGCACACACTCACACACACAATCAGACACTAAGGACAGGGGACACGATGGATAGGATACTAGTTTATAGCAGAGCACACACTCACACACACAATCACACACTAAGGACAGGGGACACGATGGATAGGATACTAGTTTATAGCAGAGCACACACACACACACACAATCAGACACTAAGGACAGGGGACACGATGGATAGGATACTAGTTTATAGCAGAGCACACACTCACACACAGAATTACACACTAAGGACAGGGGACACAATGGATAGGATAATCATATTTTTTGTATTGATTTAAATTCAAATTTTAATGATACAGAATTATGAATGATTATATGCAGTCATGCGTTACATAACATTTAGGTTACAAATGGACCGTACATACTACGGTGGTCAAATAAGTTTATAATGTAATGGAGCTGCAAAATTTGGTAACACTTTACTTAGAGCTGCCATCGATAATGCAATATAGATCCATTCATAATATATTACAATGATCAGTATAAGAATTAATTGAGCATTACAGCATCTTATTTTGACAGTTATAAGGCATTATAGTGTTGATTATCATACGTAATAAGCATCAATGAAGCCCTCATCTATAATGCAGTACAAAGCATCCTTACTGCTTATACCACCCATTATAATGCGTTATGGAAGTATCTAAAACATTCATAATGAATAATAAACATGGCTATATGACTTTTTATAAATATTTATAGCCATGCTTATAATGCTTTATGAATGCATTGTAATGTGTTATGAATGTGTTATTAGATTCTTATAAACATGTCGTTTACAGAAAATGTCACCAAAAATTCCTATCAACTAGTGATGTCATAGCTTAATGCATTACTCACACGTCTGTCGTTTAGGCTATACCATATAGTGTAGGTGTGGAGTAGGTTGAACCATCTATGTTTGTATACTCTATAATATTCACACAACAACGAAATCACCGAGTGACGCATTTCTCAGAACATCTCCCTGTCATTAAGCAATGCATAACTATACAGTACTTTATTTTCAATAACTATTTTGACTAAAGAAACTAAACTTACAGGATGTACCAGTTTCTCCACTATTTCTCTAAGCAGGCATGATTTCCGTGCCTGCAAAGCAGACATTCTATAAATACCTGTGTAAAGACTCATGTCATATGTTTCACATCCAAAAAGGCCATATATTTATATTTACTTTCTATATGTTTCATAAATATTTTTTGAAAGTTTTTGGCCTGACCTGTATCTCTGCACTTCCTGTAGCAGCTGAGACTGTATCCTGGCCTCTGTTCATCCATCGTACAGAGATAACAGGGTATCTGCTGTACACACTGCTGGTCAGTAAGGCAGTAGGACCTCCAGGGGTTTGTCATGGTAGGAACAGACCTTGTGTTGAAGTTGGTTGATTGCATCAATTAGCTTATTTTGTTTTCCAGCGTTTGGTGATGTACTGTGTTGAAGGCTGCAGAGCGGTCTAGCAGGACCAGGAAAGATGACCGAGCAGCAGCTCTCACGGCTCACAGAACATCCAGAACTTCCAGGATGGCGGCCTTAGTGTCGAGGTCTGAAGTCAGACTGGAATGGGTCCAGGAGGTTGTTCTGTTTGAGAAATTCAGAGACTTGACGGGATGGCACATTGAAGAGTTTTAGATATGAAACAGAGGAGAGACTGGTCAATAATTTTCAATCTTTGATCAGGTGCAATTGTGGACTTTTTAAGCAGTGGTGCAATACAAGTCTGCTGAAATGTGGCGGAGATTATGCTGGTTGTGAGTGAAACATTGACGAAGTGAGTGAGTGCAGGGGTTACTGTAGAAGACATGCTGGGGAGGAGATGGAGGGAGAGGGCCCAGGGTATAGGCGGTGGCAGTGCTGGTGTCAAGGGGGGGCATTTGAAGGCATTGCCCCCCTTAGCGAGTCGCCACGCCCCCCCTACACTTGCTCCAGCACCCACCACCACAGGCTCCAAAATATTCATTTTTATATCTAATTATTTTTCAGATATTAATCGTGTAAACATTCACAAAATTAATAAAGAGCAGTTTCAAATATTTTTTGTCATATTATAGATTCACTTGAAAGAATGTAGGCTAGTTGGTGCTGATTGGTTGTTGCTTTGGTGCGGCATTTGACTTTCGCACGGAAAATATGATACAATGGAATTTTCAACCCCAGCAGTCATTAGGGTAGCGATTCATTCAACTGAGCAGCCTCTTTTCATAAAGGTGTGTAATTCAAGAGAACGATTCATTCAACGGTAATGGTTATTTGTGACTGAAAGTTAAGTAGTGTGATATGCAGAGAACTCACTTCCCATGTTAGACAATTTGAAAGCTTGTTGGGATGATCAACAACTTCTGGGGCCTCATTTATATATAAAGAAAAATGTTGCCTAGAAATCATCCTACATTTGATCTTAGATCATTTCTGAAATGTGCATAAAAAGTGTGATTCAGAGAAAATTAATGTACATGCAATAAAAAAAACCCATATGCCACCAAGGCCACCAAGACAAAATCCGGGCCCCAGTACGAAGAAGGTGTGTGGGCCCTTATACAAAATACTACACACGTAGAATGAACAGGTGAGAACACTCGTCGATAGTCACTTTCACAAGTTTTTGTGCATTGACCGCTGCCAAATACCCTGTGACCCACATGCCTTTTTAATTTTGAAACTAAACAGACTTGCAAAATTTTTAAAAAGACAATAAAAAATACATGAATTAAATAAATGTTCAAATTACAGTGATCCCTGCCTATCACGGAAGTTACGTTCCAGACGCATCAGCGAAAGGTGAAAATCCATGATATAGAAAGACCATATAAAATAAGACCACATTTTTTAATATACAATTTAAGCCTTAGAATACCCCTCCCACACACGGTGACAAACATCAATGACAGATCTGAGGAAAACTAACTCAGATGCGGATTAAATACACAAGGACAAGCCGAAAATAACAGGCAACAGGTGATCACAATCGGGGAGTAACATGAGGTAACGAGGGGGGCGTGGCACACAGGAGGATCGGACGAGCAGGTCATGACAAATAATAATAATAATAATAATAATATTAACATGTAATATATATATAAACAATGACAAATGAAAAGCATATGTACATTTTGTTATGAATTGCGACTCTGCATGTCTACGTATTCCTGTACGCAGCTGTCACGCCCCGCTCCGTCCGCTCCCGATGTGTGCCATGCCCACCTCATTACCTCGTGTGATTCCCTGATTGTTCTCACCTGTGATTCGTTACCCTTAGCCTGTCTCTTGTATTTAGTCCGTGTCTAAGTCAGTGTACCCGAGATCTGTCATTGTATTGTCCGTGGATGTCTCTACCTGTCTGTCTCTTGACAATTAAACCCCGTTTACCTGAAGTCCTGGCTTGCTCTCCTGCTTCCCTGCTCGCCTCCTTCGCCAAACGTGACAGAATCACGGATCTCTGAAACAAGCTCAGTGCTACCGGGGAAGTCCTCCCCATAGAGGACGAGGTGATTCAGTGGACGAACCAGCTGGATCACCACCCGGATCCCGTAGCCCACCGGCTGGTAGAACGCTGTTGGGAGCTCCTGGATAGGAGGTTCCACACCGGCGAGGAGCAGCTGCTCGAGCAGGTGGACGAACACCTGCGGCAGCTGAGGGCGAGAGCGGTGGTTTGGCTACCACACCCGGGGTATGCCGCCCGGGAACCACCCCTTGACTCGCTAACAGCCACCTTCCCGGTCTCAAAAAGGGCTGATAATAAAATGCGCAACCCTGAGCTTCACGCGGTTACGGCCGCTCAGCTTCCCCGCTGTGGGGAGCTGCCCTGGGTCCCAGAGGGCTCCGCTCTCCCCCACGCCAAAAAGAGACGCCGTGGAAAAGGGAAGAAAGCCCACCCGACGACGCTCTTCTTGGGAGCGTGCTCCCTTCTCCCCGCCTTGGAGGACGCCTGTGTTACCGGTGAGCCCCATGACGAGGAGAACCTGCCTCCTTTAGAGGCTGGGGATGACTGGCCAGACCGCTGTCCCGGAAGAGGGATCAGCGCCGTAAGAGACGCAAGTCCCCGGGTCCCTAAAGCCCTTAAAGGGGCAGTACTGGCTCGGCTAGCGCCCATCAGGGTACCCACTCCGGACCTGCCTGTCCTGCCTGCTGCAGCTGCCGCCGCTCTGCCTGCGGCACCGCCTGCTGCAGCTTCTGCCGCTTTGCCCGTGGCACCGCCTGCTGCAGCTGCCGCCTCTCTGCCCGCGGCACCGCCTGCTGCAGCTGCCGCCTCTCTGCCTGCGGCACCACCTGCTGCAGCTGCCGCCTCTCTGCCCGCGGCACCGCCCGACCCACCTGTCCTGTCTGCTCCGGACCTGTCCGATCCGGACCTGCCGGCCACGCCGCCTGCTGCCTCCGCCGATCTGCCCGCGGCTGCGCTGCCTGCAGCTGCCGCCGATCTGCCCGCGGCTGCGCTGCCTGCAGCTGATGCCACCGCTCTGCCCGCGGCAGCGCTGCCTGCAGCTGATGCCGCCGCTCTGCCCGCGGCAGCGCCTGCTGCTGATGCCGCCGCTCTGCCCGCGGCACCGCCTGCTGCTGATGCCGCCGCTCTGCTCGCGGCACCGCCTGCTGCTGATGCCGCCGCTCTGCCCGCGGCACCGCCCACTGCAGCTCTGCCCGAGGGCCTGGCTTCGCCTCCGCCTGCAGCGGAGGAAGCCGCTCTGCCCGTGGCGCCCCCTGCTGGCCGCACGCCTAAGGTGCCCGCCGAGGCGCCCCCTGCTGGCCGCACGCCTAAGGTGCCCGCCGAGGTGCCCCCTGCTGGCCGCACGCCTAAGGTGCACCCCGAGGCGCCCCCCGCTGGCCGCGTGAGGGCGGTGCCTGCCAAGGCGGCACCTGCTGGTCGCACGCCAGAGGCACCCGCCGAGGCGCTCCCACCTGAACTGCCTGTCTCGCCTGTCCTGCCGGCACCTGAACTGCCTGTCTCGCCTGTCCTGCCGGCACCTGAACTGCCTGTCTTGCCTGTCCTGCCGGCACCTGAACAGCCTGTCTCTCCCATCCTGCCCGCGGCCCTGCCTGAGGCCGCCTCTCCCGTCCTGCCCGCGGCTCTGGCTGCCCCGCCTGCGGCCTTGCCCGCGGCTCTGACTGCCCCGCCTGCGGCCACGCCCGTGGCTCCGGCTGCCCCGCCTGTTGCCTCCTTAGAGGCCCTGACACTTGTCCGCCCGGCTCTGTCCTCCCTCCTGACTTCCTCGCCCTTACCCCGGCAAGGCCGACGGCCCCCAGGACCCCGCCTTTCGGTGTCTCGTAAGGGACGGGGACATAGGCGTCGGGCCCGGGTCCCGCCCGCCCTGCCCCCTGGCTCGCCCGTTCGGCCCCTGGCTGTGGCTCGGTGGCTGCCTGCGGGTCCTTCGGCTCGGGGTCGGCGGTCTCCGCCGGGTCCCCCCTTGGATCCTCGGTG